TATCTTCCATCTGTTCATTTTCTTGCAATAGGACATCAAAATGCATCATTTCTCTTCAGCATCATCTTGACTTTTTATGTGCAAAGATGCCTCCACCTCACCGGAAGACAGGTAGTAATTTGCCTTGAATGACCACTGCTTCTGCAGTATGTTACGTGCTTTCTTGGGAGTAGCCTCATTGAACACAGTGAGCCTTTTCGTCTGAGTAAGCTCCTGTAATGATAAGCCAATTCATGTTACGTACATCACAAGGGAGCTCTGCTTCTAATGATGCACTAATTCTAGTTCTGCCTTGGCACAGACCAGAGTTCAAGGGGCATCCTATTAGCATCTCGAACACAGAGCTGGAGCACATGAGGAGGGGACATGGCCCAACTGAAGAACACAATGCGACGTCTGTGTGTGTGGAGTTCTTGTTCTCCAGCACTCAATAATAATGTGACCATCTATCAGGTGGACATTTAATCATCATCATCATCACACATCTTCGAGTCAATTCTGATTTACAGTGATCCTTTTCAGGGTTTTCCAGGTAGAGAATAATCAGAAGTGGTTTAACAGTCCCTTCACATTGGGGCACCCTGGAACTGTGCAGCTTGCCCAAAGCCACACAGGTTGTCTTTCCCCCCAGAGGCACAGTGGGAAATTAAACTTCCAACCCCTGGCTCCAGCTGAAAAACTGTGTAGAGACATGGAAAACATATGGTACAACTGGAAACCATCCCTGAGAAATATGCTTTCTTTTTTTGAAACACGACAAGAGGAAATATAGCTTTTCTTCCCATATTGTTATAAATGATTCTTGTGAAGTCAACTGTATATGAAATAAATGTATTTGAGAATGCGCCACAGGGTTTTTTTTCCTCCCTAAAATGCTTCTGGATAGGTCAAGGTTTATGGAACTATTCAGTTCTTCTCACTTTAATGAGGAGTTTTCTAGCAAGGAAAAAAACATGGTGAGAAAACACTGGAGGCTACAAACTGGAGACAATGTAATTTGGACTCCTTATAAAACACTTTGAATGTAACAGGGTGATTGTATAATAAAAACTCTGTGAAGGCATGTTAATATTGAAAATAGGTTCTGTTTGGAGACATACGCATGTTGTATAGATTTAAGACTGTTTTTTCTTTTTCTATAGTCATTTAAAACCAAAACAAACAAAAAATAAAAAGAGAGGAGGGGGAAAATAAAGTAAAAGAAAAAGAGGGAAAATATATAAAATATAACATTTAGCTGATCATATACATTAATATAAGCTAATCATATGTCAAAAAAAGATTACATTTAGAGCTGATGTCAGTAGAACAGATGTTTAGGTGTAGCCAAAGAAGTAAGATATTTAGATGAGTGAATGGAGGATTCTGTATATTTCACCTTCTTACATTGAAACTTATGCCTTTGGCAATGATAAGAGCTTGTAAAATTCAACCATAGTGACTTTTAGTTAAATTCAAACTTCAGGAACATACCGTATTTTTCCATGTATAAGACCCCCCACCCCTTTTCTAAACCAAAATTTCTTTCTTTGCAAGAAAGTGGAGGGGGAAGGCAGGGAGGAGGGGAAAAGTGATTCCTGCTTTCCCCCTGCACTTTTTTTTTTTTGCAAAAAGGTGCTTTCCCTCTCCACATTTGCAAAGAAAATGGAGGGGGAAAGCGATTCTTCCTTTCCCCCTACATTTTTGTTGCAAAAAGCAGCTTTTGCCCTCCATTTTCTTTGTAAAACATGAAGGGGGGAAGCTGCTTTTTGCAGTGAAAATGTAAGGGGATAGCAGGGATCAAAGTGCTTTTATCTGTCCCCCTTCCTTACTTCCGTCTATAAAATGACCCTCAATTTTTCTAATACAGTGGTGCCTTGCTTAACGAGCGCCCTAACGACAAAACCGCTTAGCGATGAAGAATTTGCGATTGGAAAAGCGATCGCATTGTGATCTTTTAAATAGGAAAAATCGCTTTGCGGTGATCGGTAAGCTGTTTTGCTTACTGATTATCGCATAGCAATCTTTTTCCTACAGCTGATCGGCGGTTCCAAAATGGCTGCTGGAAAAAAAAAACATGGCCACCTGCTGTGTTTTGGGACGGATTCCTTGCATACCGGGCAGCGAAAATGGCCACCCTATGGAGGATTTTCGCTTAAAGGTGAGTTTTTGCCCATAGGAATGCATTGAAGGGGTTTCAATGCATTCCTATGGGCTTTTAAAAATCGCTTAGCGATGTTTTCGGTTAGCGGTGATTTTTGCTGCACCGATTAACATCGCTAAGCGAGGCACCACTGTAATTATTTTAGGAAAAAATGTCATTTTATACACAGAAAAATACGGTAGTTTAAATGTACATACGTACTGTAGCTACAAATCTAAAGCATGTTTCTAATACAACATTATTTTGCTGTAAAATATCCAACCAAAAAGAGGTCACTACTGGACATTTTCTCACCACATCTCTCAAAGAAATGTTAACATTTAGCTAAAGCTGCCAGCTTGTTTCTCAATAAGCAAGGTGGTATTCAGTTTGTCTGATATACCAGTTTTGCAGAACCAAGCAAAACTTTAGTTCTAAACGGATTTTAGATATTGAAACTAGGACAGTTTTCTGTTGGTTAATCTGAACAGGATAGTTCAGTTTTCTGTTTTACTCCATTCTCATTTCATTGATATAAAATTTAGTGCTTTTTAGGATTGGAGCCTATGTACGTTGTCATATACAAGCTTGAAAAACCATGTCACAATTAATTTACGTGTTTGCGTTGTTCATGCTTTCAATTCTTTTCTCTTTTTTATAAGGCTCTTCCTTCTTCCATGGTGATAGTAGCAATTTATTGCCCAGTGATAGCAGCTCTCTTCATTGCTCTCAAGATGGTAAACTACCGTTTGCACAGAGCTCTTGATGAAGGTGAAATTGTGGAGAGGAATGCTAGTGAACGCATGGACAGAGGTGCAAAAACAGAACAAGATAACTCTTTGGCCCGGAGAAAGGACAGTAATGGACCTAGGTAAGATATCTTCTGTTTTTGCATTTTGACGATAGAATATTATTCTTTGTTATGATATATTTGGTGAATAATCTTACTGGATATTCTATGCAATATGCATCAGGATATCCTGTGTAATAAAATTTGAGACAATCACTGTAACCATTGTGTGCATTGTTTCCTGTAGCTCACTTCTGGGTTACAGAACTATTGTATAAAACAATATGCCCCACATGTCAGTTTACCATAAGCTTCAATTTGCGTGGATTCACCCATGGGTAAGAAAACTGCATGCATGCATGACAGAACTGTCTTCTAGCCCAGCCTGAGCCTGACTCAATCCAGCCTCATATATTGCATATATTGCTCTTGAGGACAGAGCCTTGGAAAGAAAATTCAGCTGCTTCTGCTCTTTTTTCCTCTGCTCTTAGTATAGGTAAAGATAAAGGTTCCCCTTGACATTTAGTCCAGTCGTGTCTGACTCTAGGGGGCGGTGCTCATCCCCATTTCCAAGCCATAGAGCCAGCATTTGTCCGAAGACAGTTTCCGTGGTCACGTGGCCAGTGCAGCTAGATACGGAACACTGTTACCTTCCCACTGAGGTAGTACCTATTTATCTACTTGCATTTGCATGCTTTCGAAGTGGTAGGTTGGCAAGAGCTGGGACAAGTGATGGGAGCTCACTCGTCGCGTGGATTTGATCTTACGACTGCTGGTCTTCCGACCTTGTAGCACAGAGGCTTCTGTGGTTTAGCCCACAGCGCCACCATGTCCCTCTTAGTATAGACAGAAGTCTAAATAATTGGCATAATTCCACACAAGGCTTCCAAGCATCTTCCTTTATTGTGCATGTCCCCAGGTCCGTATGGGAAAAAGTCTCTATAGTTGGGCACTTGTTAGTTCTGAACTCAACCCTGATGAGTTACTATAGACAGAATTCCACTATGTATATTGATGTTAGTCAAATGGTATAAATATCAGCATCTATGCAGCATTTTTGGGAGGGTGTTCTTGAAATTTTTGCCAGGATATGGAGAAGCACAGTTGCACTAGGGGGCTGACCTGTATCTTATTTACACCCAGGTTCCCTCTCTCCTTTTGTTTATGTACATTCTCTCTTCTTCTCACTTTTACACATACTGTTGGCTTTTGCTGTAGCAGAGGCAAGGAATTTCCACACCCATGGGTGGGAAATGCCAAGCTATTGCTTCCACTTCTTTTCTTTTCTTTTCTTTTTGATGGCTTTCAGAGAAGTCAGAGACTTCTGCAGGTGCATAAGCTGAGAGTTCTGGATGCTGTCATGAGGGCAGTCAGTGTCCTCCCCTCCTGTGAGCCCTCCACGGAATGATCAGGCAGGTGGCAGGAAGGAAGAGAAATGGCTGAAGATGGTTTCTTATAACTAGGATGGATTTGTGTGTGTGTACATGGAGAAGAAGAAGTTGATGTAGCTCAGTTGGTTGCAACACCTGGCAACAAAGTCAGGGGCTAAAAATTTGAATCCCTACTATGTTTCCCAGAAGGAGCAAGCCAAGATCTCCCCAAGCCTGAGTGGCTGGTGAGTTATATGCCCTGCCAATTGTGCAACTTTGGGCAAGGCACATGATTCCAGAGCACCATCAGAAGAAGATATTGGTAAGCCACTTCTGAGTACTTTATGCCTAGAAGATCCTGGAAAGGGTGTCATAAGTCTCATTTTGTATGTTAAAAGTCGAAATCATAAAGCTAAGAATCACATTCTTCTTCTTCGTAACCTCTGTGAATGCACATGATAGGGTTAAGTCCGTGCCTGCGCCGGGCTTTTCGGAACGTTCTAGAGCTTAAGAGAAAAAATTGAATAATTAAGTGTTGCCCCATAGAGCATGCGCCGTCCGCCCGTAGCCTCAGTTCCATTTTACCGCCTTCGCATACGGAACTTCTCTGGCTAGAGCTCTTACTTTCGACCGTTTTTGGTGTTCCTGGTTCGACTTAGGCTTTCATAAATGACTACTCTTTATCTGTTGCCCCTTTTCGGACTTCCTTCCTTGTGCCTGACCTCGGACTGTCTCTTCGACTACGTCTTTGGATTTTTCCCGCTCTCTGGTTCTTACCTTGGACTCGGTTCTCAAACTTTTCGTTTACCTCCCAGTGTGAGTTTTTACTCCTGGGCTCCTTGGTTTATGTTCCCCTCGGACCCCCTAAAAAAGTGCACCTCATGTAAATCCAAGCTACTGTGTTCGGACGGACACGAGTTTTGTGTGCTCTGTTTGGGAGAAGTGCACTTGGCGCAGTCTTGCAGGGAGTGCAAGAAATTCACGCGGGCAGATCTTAGAGCCAGGCAACAGCAGCTCAAACTTTTTCTGTGGGACACCACCCTCTCAGCTTCCCAACCTAGCGCCATGGAGGTACCTCCCTCCCATTCTGCCAGGGCCAGGGCAAGTGATTCTATCAACCCACTCCCCCCTTCACCGCCCCTAAGCCGGGAAGACCTACAAAAAAGGCGTCTCCATCAAAGCCTAAAAACTGTTAATTGATCCATCTGGTAGTGCCGCTCAGGGCACATCTAAAGGGGCTCCCACCGGCAAGCCCTCTTCCAGATCGGCTAAATCCTCCAAGGAGCCTGCAAAGAAAAAGAAAGAGAAAGCGCCTCTTAAGCCCACGAAGAACGGAGTGCGTGGAGGGCTTGATCCCCAATGCCTGGTCACTACCATCCTTAATTCACCTCCCTCCCCCATCTTGGAAGAGGTCGAGGGCGCGCACGAGTCTGGTGGGGACGACAGAGATTCTCTCCCACCTCGACAACCACTGGCAACGACGGGAATGCGGAGCCATTCGCCCAGCCATAACCCGCTAGATGGCATACCAATATCTAGTGCTGCTTCTGCCCTACACAGCCCTGTTTCCACCGGGCGGGCGTCTTCGGTAGTCTCGCGTTCTCCTAGCCCAATTTCACTACCTCGTAAGAGAACAGCCAAGACAAAGCATATTTCTCCTCTTCGGGACAGGTGCCACCATAGGGAAATAGTCATTCTACATCGGACCTCTCGCCGGGAGGACTCTTATGTTATTGATCTCAATCATCGTCATTGGCGCTGAGGAAGGGAAACTGTTTCTGATTCCCTGTCTGACGACGGAGCCTACCGCTCACACAAAAGGGTCCATTATGTTTACGCCTCCTCTTCCTCACCATCTCCTTCCCCCCTAAACATCGGGCTCGGGAAACATCCAGAACCCAAAAGCACACAGAGAAAATAAGGCTAGATCATTATAAGCCACAGGCTGGCCACGACCATGGGGTCAAGCCTTCCGTCCCATCCGGCACCTCGGGCAAACAGTCTGCAGCTGCCTCAGCGTCGACCACGATCACAGGCAAACCCAGGGCTCATGGGAAGAGACCACTTTCCCCACCTCTGCCGTCTCTACCAGAGGAACGATAGCACCCTTGATCACTCCCCTTGAGGGATCGGACAATGAGTCCATTTCAGGGGGCCCTTCAGAATTCGGCATCTCAGATATTCATGCCCCTGCATCTTCCGAAGATTTTTCTTCATATGTTCAAATGGTGTCTCGCATGGCTAAAGCCCTCAAGCTTGATATTGAAAAGACTGCCGCCTCTGCAGAGGATCTTGTCTTCAGGATTGTTGATAAAGACAAAGCGCCTCCACTCAGCATCGCCCTCGTTCCATCCTTGCTGGCCATGATCAAAGAGTCTTGGTCCACTCCAGCCACTTCTACACAGGTCACTCATAGAGTTGAAAATTATTACAAAACACATGGTGAAGATGCGGCTTTTCTAGCCAAACACCCAGTGCCTAACTCGATTATCGTTCAGTCTAACCAATCTAAGACATCCTCAAGAGCGCAGATTACTCCCTCCAATAGGGAAGGCAGAAAGCTCGACGTCCTCGGCAGAAAGATGTACTCTTTCACCACCTTTCTCATTAGGGTGGCAAATTACCAGGCAGCCATGGCAGCCTATCAACACAAGCTCTGGAAGAGAGTGCTACCTGGCCTCCAAGAGATACCAGAGGACTTGAGCGCTCCCTTGCTCAATACCTTTGAAGAGGCAACTAACGTAGCCAAACACCAACTGTTAGCCTCACGTCACTCTGCTGACATTGCATCTAAGACCATGACTTCTTCCCTAATATTGCGTTGCCATGCTTGGCTTCGATCATTAGGCATCAGTGAAGACACTAAGAATTGGATTGAGGCTCTCCCTTTTGATGCCACGGGAGTATTTAATGAGAAGACTGATGAGTCAATGGAAAGCTTCCACAAAATGAAAAACACAGCAAAATCCTACACTATACACCAGCAGCCGAAATTTCAGTCATACCAATGGCGTAAACCATACACCACACAAAACTACTTACCTTCTACTTCACAAACTTACCGGCCATTCAAACAGCAGTCCCAGTCTCGACTCCCTCACGCTTCTTCCGGATCTCCTTTCCGCTCCCCAGGGTCAGAGACGTCAGTCATTTTGTCTTCCTGCCAAAAAGACCAGACATTATAGTTGACTCTACGATCGTATTGACACGTCACCCACCCCATATCCGTCTAGGTCAGTTCCTTCACAATTGGTCTGCCATCACAACCGACAAATGGGTCCTCGACATCATCCAGTTCGGGTATCGCCTAGAATTCTTAGAACTTCCCCCTTTGGGACGCATCAAAAATACAACTTTCAATCCAGTCTTACAAATGGAAATCTTCAATTTACTCCAAAAACATGCTGTAAGCACGTCACAAACAGATTCTTCTCCAGATACTTCGCTGTCCCCAAAAAGGACAGAGACATTCATCCTATCTTAGATCTCCGGGCACTAAACCGTTACCTACTTGTAAGAAAGTTCCGCATGGTCACTATAGAGACCATTCTTCACCTACTTCGTCAGGGCAGCTGGTTAACTATCATAGACCTCCAAGACGCCTATTTTCATATTTCTATTCATCCTCATCATCACAGGTATCTGTGTTTCTGTTTTCTAGACACCGTTTATCAGTTCTGTGCCCTTCCTTTCGGTTTGTCTACCGCCCCT